GCTCCAAATTAAGTGCACCCTAACAAAAATTTAAATCATAATAACAACAACAAAATACGAATAATGATAAACTCTAAGTGAAAAAAGCGAGTGAAGATTTACCAATCATACTTAGATGATAGTAGCTAATTTAAAGGCTAAGAGTATGGCAAAAAGTAGTCCGATCTATTCATCGATTATATCTTATATAAGTAATTCTAAATTAAGAGGCAGTATAAGATAATATCAGTAGTATATCTAGGATTTTGTAATCATAATTAATATTAGTTCATTAAAGTTCATTGGTTTTCATTGTTCTGCGAAGTAGACTGGATACAGACTAATTAAATTAAAAGCAGCAAGGTTTTTTGGAGAGGACATCAAGTGGTGGGCACATAGTTATTAGAGGGGAATGGTTTGGAAACCTATTGTTATCAGGTCTTTGTTCGCTTTTGATGTTGAACCGGTCTTGACCATGCACAATGTTTGATTTATGCTCATCCAAAATTGCAAAATAAGTAAACATAAACTTTGTGTATGAGATTGTTGTAAAGAATATTCAAATATCTCTAATAAATCTTTAAGTACTTTGAACTAGCAGCCAAGAGAAAGATTTTGGTCTGTTCACTCAGCCATTGCCAACAATGGTAAAACAATGGTAAAACAAAGGATTGTGTACGGTCACGCTTGAAAAAAGTGAACAATAACCTATAACAATAGATTTTCTTAACCATTCCCCTCTATTAACTTTGGTGAGCAGCACTTAGGACAGATGGACTTCCATGTGATTACATTGTATTTTATAAGCTCACCATTCCTCCATCTCGACCTTATGCCTTCTCTACTATAGCTTGCTAGCATCTAAAAATAGTTCAACAGAGTATTTACACAACAGCATTCTGACTTTCATGGCCAGGGTCAGTACTGACACCATGATGGTCTGTATTACTTTCTGTGTCTCCATCATTCCCATGAGACTGTTCAATCAACTCTTGCCTATCGTCTGTCACATATCGTTGGTTCCAACATGTCCTCCATCCTATTCTTGTCATGGTGTACATTGCTTTACCCAAGAATACTGCTCCGAGGATGAAGAAGAAACTACCATATACTACAAACTACAAAAATTAAACATTAATCTTAGGGTTGTAGTTCAAACAGTCAGTAATGTTTTTATGGGTCTGAAATGGTTGGAAGGCCGACTAATTCAATCAACAAGTTGGTACTGTGATTGAGTGGGCTGGCTGTGCCATTGACTGATTGAGTGAGGCTGGATTTAGTAGATGGATTGCTATGTAATGAAGATTTCATTAGAACAAAATTTCAATTTTTTTTGATCAATTTTTTTTTCAGTTTTGCTTTGTTATAAAAGCAATGTTCAATGCTTAGTTGTGTGTATATCAAGTTCTGGATGGACTTGGGAGGTTGCTTAAACACTCAAGAAGCTAGAGCTGCACTTTTGTGACTCATCGTACACTTCTTGAGTGCTTAAGCAACCTCCCAAGTCCATCCAGAACTGGATATACGTAAGCTAAATGATTGGTAGGTTCGCTTGGGTTGTGCAGGTTACCAGGTGAGAAGGTTGCTAAGCCAATCAGCATAAGTCATTTCAACTAATGTACATGCTTGAATTACATGCCGAGCAGTTTTCGAACTAGCTCGGTCGTAACATGGCAATGCATATGCCAAACTAATCATATATTGAGCATGAATTCACTCTCCATCTGATCAAATACTTGAAACACGTGCAGACTGGGTCACACCAAGGTCACAGCACTGTCTAAGTACACCAAACCAATCAAAGTGTGCGAGAAAAAAATCAAAATCTTAGAAAACACCATGGTCACCACAAGGAATGCATATGGCACCAATCTCTTCACAGTCATGCGAAAACTGCTCTCATCATGCACTGTATGACTGCATGTCACTACTGACTAAATATATGTTATACTACTGGGTTACCTGTGTTATTATATCTAGTGCCAGTCCTCTCTCATCCACCACTATAACAGTGAGAATAGTCTGTAATAGTAGAGCGACAAACATGTTGCACCCAAACACAAGTGCATACCTGTCCATACCAACATTCTTTGCGATCTGGAAACTAGAAGAAAAAGTCATTTCTAAAAATGTATGACTGGGATACCTGTGGCAGAGGAAAAATATAATCTAGGGGATAACAATAGCTCAGAAGCTGGGAGTAGGAATGTTTTTTTTTCACTGCAGGCAGAGAATTGGGGAATTTGCAGCAGATATAAGACTGCCTTCTAAATGAATCTAGCTAAATGAACACCCTACAATATGGAGCATTAATGAGTAAAACCATGATAAAACAAATCTACCCTTCCTATAAATAAAGTGACCTACCTTGCAATGGTAACCAAAAATGTGTATGCCATTCTAAAGAGAATATACATCGAGTATGCCAACCATATGCTAGAAGTATGAGCACTGATGTACAGAAAGAATGCATCTGCGACACTGACCACGCCAAGAACCAGCTCACCAAACACTGACCAGTTTACCTTGAGGTAGCCTAACAGAAGAGCAACAGAAGCACCAAAAACGTTAGATAAGGCAGTGACAACACCATTGTAAATCTTGTGCTTGCGTGCGGAATAAATGTCGTCCCAGAGATTTTGGACATAATTTTCGACCATGAATTCACCACATGTGCCAAAGGCCCACCATAGAGACCATTTTAACAGCTCGTTTTTGGAATAACACTCCTTGAAATCATGCCACATCAAGCGTAATGATAATTTCCAGGAACTGAAACATTTAAGGAAGCAGTTGGAAGCATTTTCGGTTGCTATGGGACTAACATCATGGTTATTATCAACAGCCTCATTGTCACTGGTAGCTCCATAAACTTGCACTTCACTTTGATTTTCTCCAGGTTTGACAATACCGAACACGTTTCCGCTTGCTGATGGCAAGATGAAGGTAATAACCAGTGCAATACAAACACTTGTCATGGAAATATAGTTCAATGTGAGGTAATCTGTAACACTGAGTGAGATGAGCAGTTGACCTACCACCCCAGACATCATCCTACCAGCCAGCACTGCTGCTCTCGTAAAGCCAGTAACTCGAAGATAATGCTCTGCCTCTACAACTGCGTATATATACGAGTAATAAGCAACCTCTGCTCCTGTAGCTACACCATAAGCAGTCTCCATGAACTGCATTGCACGCACACTTGTCGCCCATATTAATAAAACCCTCGTTGTCAAATACGCCAAACCTTCGACAACGATGACAGGCTTGTACCTTAAAACATCAGTGAAAAGAAAAACCAATAATAGAGCTACGAGATAGGAGTACGTCCACACAGGATATACTTCGTTTTCGAGCTGTTTGTCGGTGAAGTTTTTCGGAGGTGCTTTGAGATAAGGAGTCAAGAATGGCTCAGAAGGCTTCATTTCTTTGAAGAATCCATAAAGACAAAGAAGAAGAGTTGCTTTTTGCCAGAACTCCAGACGAAGCGCCATGCTTTCAGTACTCTTAATCATGTGACTCATGTGACTCTACAGGATTATTCAAGTTGACCTTTTTTAGAATTTCGTGGTATTTTTATTGACCTTTTACGTCTTTTTCTCATCATACCACCACAGGAAAGACAAAGGGTAGGAAATTCGTATAGGAAATCGCACGATCTCGAGTACAATTCGGAATTTATAGGTACGAGTGATGTTTTGAAAGTTTTCAAAATTGTACGAGCCTTTAGGCGAGTTCAATTTGAGAACTTTCAAAACATCACGAGTATCTATAAATTCCGAATTGTACGAGAAGATTGCGGGATTTTTTGTTTATAATAAAGTCAACAAAATTGAGCAACTTAATTAGGACTACTATACAGAGTACAAATTGTGATTTAATTGTACTCCTCTTGTCCAATCAGAATCGAGTAATTTTGTTGAGTGCATTATAACACTCGAAATTATGGATATTGTATGTGATTTGGAGTGCTTACCACTTAAACCAATCCAACTGGTTGGAATTTCTTTTGCTAATAGTAAGAAAAAAGTGGAAGACTTTGACTTTCAATAATGGTACACGCGTCTACCGGAAGTACCAAAAAGAGCGGGAAACTTTGACTTCCGAAAAATGGTACACGCGTCTACCGGAAACCAAAAAGAACGGGAATAGTGGATTATCTCAATCGGAAGACCGAGTTTTCCGGAACTTTCCAATCGGAATGATGCATTCCATTTGTTTTCCAACCGGAATTTCGGGTTTTTCCGGGTAAGTGGTAAGCGCTCCTGATTTGAGGTTTTCCAGGCGCAAAATCGTACGATTTGTCTTAGCAACGAAGTAGCTTTTGGTGACTAAATATCAAGGCTTTTCCATGACATTTCATAGCATGTGCTCTTGAAAGCATTGTTATTTCCGACATTGTTATGGAAACACTTTGATTGACGTCCACCAATACTCTATTTTGTCGCGACAGAAAATTGTACGATTTCACGTGTGTGATTTAGAAGCACTGTAAGTGAAATCAGTTGCTAGTGTAAAACCAGAATACCATTGGTGATGATGATGTTGATATTGATGATGACACTCTGGTGATGATGATGTTGTTGATGACGATAATAATATTTGTGAATGGTAATGTTGGTGATGATGATGATGATGATGATGACACTGGTGATGATGATGTAAATAATGATGATGGTGATGAAGATGATGATGATGTTGATGTTGAAAACACTAAAGGGATGACGTGGAATATGATTGATTGAATATGAATGTTGAAATAGTGATACAAAATAACAGTATTTTGTTAATTGTGTTGATGAAACTGATGGTGATGATAAAAGTGTAATTTTCTTTGTTTATTCATTCATTCATTTATCGATTATTAGATTTATAGTACACTCAACAAAATTACTCTACTCTGATTGGTCGAGAGGAGTACAATTATAGCGTTAATAGCGCTATGGAAACACGGCCAAAACAATGTCAACATCGGCAAAAAAAAAAAAAA